CTTCCTGCCAGCCCTCTGCCGCATCTTCCTGGACGAGTGCGCGCCTGACAACGTCCTCGAGGTGACAGCGCGCGCCATCACCTACTACCTCGATGTGTCCGCCGAGTGCACCCGCAGGATCACCACCGTCGAGGGCGCCATCAAGGCCATGTGCAACCGCCTCGTTGTTGCTGACGTCACATCCAGGACAAGCAAAGACTTGGCTGAACAATGTATAAAGGTGGGTTCGCGACCACATCCGGCCGTTTTTTTCTTCTTCGTTTCGGGTTGTGTGAATGTTTGATTTATTTATCTATCAGGGAAGGATCCTGTAGAAAATGGTATTTAATAATTTAATATCTTCTCGCTGCTGCCTCTGTCCTTGGCTCATGTAGACCCCCTCCTTCACCGCAGGTCCTGGAGCTGATTTGCACCCGGGAGGCAGGTGCTGTGTTCGAAGCCGGGGGCCTGAACTGCGTCCTGTCCTTCATCCGCGACAATGGCCACTTGGTCCACAAAGACACCCTGCACTCGGCCATGCATCTGGTCTCGAGGCTGTGCGGGAAGATGGAGCCCGCCGACCCTGGCCTGGCCCCCTGCGTCGAGTCGCTGTCCACGCTGCTCCGGCACGAGGTGGGTGGGGCCCTCGGGGCTCGGGTGTGGTTATCGGTATCGGTTTCTGCTCCTTTCTGATTTCTGATGTCTTTTCTGATGTAGTTGTTGTTGTTGTTGTTTTTCTGATTTTCTTTTCTGATTTTTAGTTGTTTGTTGTTTTGTTTGTTTTATAATTGTTATTGTTAACGTTTTTTTCTGATTTTATAGTAGTTGTTATTTTATATTTTTCTTAACTCTTGTTACTAGGTTGTTGTATTTGGTGTTTTTGTTATGTTTGGTGAACTGTTTGTTTTTATTTTTTTGTAGCTGTTATCATTGTACTGAGGGTGGGAGACATGCTTATCTCGGGGTTGTATACGATAAGCAGTTTGTTTAGGTAAATTTATGTTTGTTATCAGCAATGATATAAAGTGGTATTAGCATGTGTTCATTTATAAACATATGAAATAAATTAGTAAATTAGATTTAGTTTGAAAGCAAAAAATAATGGTCCATTAGGAATTTACAGTAGATGTAATATTAGCCTAAAACTATGAACCATTTACTCTATGAATTATATTTTAAAGATTTAGTTGGGGTTGGAGTTCTTAGCCATTGACCTATATCTCAGTCTTTTGTTTCGTGCTTTTTTTTTTGCTCTGTTTGATATATATTCCATTGTTTAAACTGTAATTTGTGCATCAGTGGGTGGCTTAAGTTATTGTTAAAACAATATGTATATTTTGTTGCTGTTGTTGTTGTTGTTGTTTTACCAAGATGTGTTTTCAGTGTTTCTTGAATGAAAAATGTTACTGGGTGAGATTGTTCATGTTATTTCAAGATAGTCATTATTCTCCACTGGTTGTTTCTTGGCTAGAGATATCGCAGTCGGTTTAGGGCTGTTGTATTTTGGCATTTGTATTCTGTAATTCATTTATTCAACAGCGAAACTCCCAGTTTTGGTTATACACAAGGTCATATTGTTTTGTTTTAATGCAGACATCCTTCTGAATTGCTAATTCTGTAATATCAGGAGGGACATTTGCTTTTACGTCCGAGAAATGTTTTCTGGCTTGTTCTTCGAATTTGATTTCTTTCTGTTATATGCTTCCTGTGTTTTGTGCTTATATAGGTATAGGTCAATAGATAGTTTGATAGATAGGTTGATATGGAGGTATGTAAATTCTTATAGGTATATGTACTTGATACACAATAGATGCAGATATGTATTACATGTTTTTGTATACATTTCAGGACCAGCACGTTGCAGATGGAGCTCTCCGCTGTTTTGCTTCTCTGGCTGATCGGTTTACTCGCCGTGCTCAAGACCCTGCCCCCCTTGCACAGCACTGCCTTGTTACACACCTTCTAGCTCGCTTGGCTGGTGAGTTGGGGTGCACATTCCACTGAAAGACCTGTGTGTATTATGCCATGAAGAGCAAGGAGTCATGGCAGGAATCATGCGATTATACGTCCTACATAGTATGACGCATTGTTTGTAATGTGTATATTTTGACCTGTGTGTTTATGCCATGGCTTGTGGTGTTAGGGTGATGACACTGTTTATTTATTTATTTTCCTTTTTTTGGTAACTCATTCATCAAGGAAATTTATGATGTAGATAAAAGGAAATAACCAATTGATATCCAAGATGCTAAGATGAGTGTGTATTATGTTCATGTAGGAATTACATTTTATTTTCCCCAAAGAGCAACAGCTACAGATTGTTCTTATTTGTCTTCAGGTGTATGACTCTATTTGTGAATGTGTGGAATGTTTTACAATGCTCTATTTTTTATGACTGTTATTTTTAAAGGTACTCATGCACTGGAAATGATTTTGAAAAAGGTAACTACAGTAGGGTCGTGGAGGTTGAAGGATCCAGTATTTAGGGAGAAAGTTTGTCCTCGTCTTTTAGTTTGTATAGAGTTTATTCCCGGCAGGTGCAGCACCTCAGCCTGCTCCAGGGGCTGCTGCTGCCGCTCCAGGTGCACCTGCTGCCACGCCAGAAAACTCAAAGACATCTGCATCTGTCTCCACTGTGATCTCCCTGCTCTCCACACTTTGTAGAGGCTCACCCAGTATTACTCATGTATGTCTGCAAAGTCAATATTAGTACTCTTGTAGATAAGTGTCAATGAGTTTGTATGTAGCTGATTTTAATATAGTGATATGGCATTAAAAAGATATTGAAATAATTCTATTAATTTTGAAAATAATGAAAACTGAGGTATCTGCTGGATTTAGAATTTAAAGATATAACTCATTTTCAGAATCTGTTGAGATCTGAACTACCTGATGCCATAGAGAAAGCCCTACAAGGAGATGAGCGCTGTGTGCTGGACACCATGCGCTTAGTAGACCTATTGCTGGTGCTGCTTTTTGAAGGGCGAAAAGCCCTGCCAAAGTCAGGGATGAGCACTGTGGCAAGCCGTCTGCCAGGGCTGAGGCGAATGGACAGTTCCGGAGAGAAGACCCATCGTCAGCTTATAGACTGCATTAGAAGTAAAGATACAGATGCCCTCATAGATGCCATAGACAGTGGGGGTATTGAAGTGAATTTTATGGATGATGTGGGTCAAACCCTTCTCAACTGGGCATCAGCATTTGGTACTCAAGAGATGGTGGAGTTCCTTTGTGAAAGAGGTGCTGATGTTAATAAAGGTAAGGGTTATTAAGTTATGTTAAAGGCAAAAATTATTGTGTGTTAAATTCCAGTGGATTATTCCATTGTATCATGTTTTGCTTCTAAATGGTAATGAAATTTTGAATTCCTTTTTTTCAGGCCAAAGATCATCCTCTCTTCATTATGCAGCATGCTTCGGGCGCCCACAAATAGCCAAAGTTTTATTGCGTCACGGTGCAAACCCTGACCTCCGGGATGAAGATGGAAAGACTCCCTTAGATAAAGCAAGGGAAAGAAATGATGAAGGTCACAGAGAAGTTGCAGCCATCCTACAGAGTCCAGCTGAATGGCTGGTTGTGGCAGATGGAAAGGTAGACATTCAAGATTTATGTTTTTTGTCTGGTCGTTTTTGCTTGTCTTTCAGAGCTTTTATACTTTTTGTGCCTATCCCTCTCAAGTTCATATTGTTATCTTAGATGAAGTCTACTATCTCCTCACAGGATAAGAAAACAGTAGAAGAGGGAAACAGTGCAAATATTGAAGGCGAGGCAGAAATTGGAGAACCACGTGGTGATGTGGAAATGGCACCAGTGTACCTCAGTCGTCTTCTTCCTGTGTTCTGTCACACCTTCCAGGCCACAATGGTCCACACAGTTCGGAAGGCTTCGCTTAGTATTTTAAGAAAGATGGTACATTATATACCAGCACCACTGCTTCATCAGGTATGGTTATTTTGTCACATATACATTATTCTTGTATAATTTGATAATTATAGCTTTTCATTACTTATTTGTTATTCATCTTGACCATAGAATTTGTTCAGCTGTGACCAAAATGACTTCTTAAACTTCCAGGTTTGTGGTGGTGAGGGGACAACAATCAGCACAAGCACTAACAATATCAATGCAAGCACCAGCACTGCCAACACCCTTCTGGGCTCGCAGTTAGTGGAGGTCATTGCTCTTGTCCTTGGCAATGAGGAAGATGAAGATGGTCACCTGGTGGCACTGCAGATGGTGGACGACCTCTTGAGCAAGGCAGCCCCTCTGCTGTTGGAACACTGTGCTCGTCTGGGGGTCATCAGCAAAGTCGGGTCATTGGCAGGCCCATCTGACCCGCCCATTGAAGAATATAGCTCAAAGGGCAAGGATGACCAGGTTTGTGTCTCTGTGTGGTTGTTTTAACTCTTAAGCTATTTTATAAGTGCAGTAGAATGTCACTAATTTGTATCAGGTTCATGTAAGAAGCACTGCAGACATCATTGGAAAGACCTTATAATTTCTTTTGTTTGTGTTTTTTATTATTTGGAATGAAAGAAAGCCCTTTCAATATCATTAATGGTTCTAGGAGTTGTGGGTCATTCTTTTGTAAGAAAATTGATTAGAATAAGACTATTACTCACCATTGCGATTTAATTTTTACTTTTATTATCCAATGCTTGTGAAGTGCATTTTGTCTTGTTTTTCACAGGTTATTTTTTTTATTATGTTATTTTGGGTATTTTAGTGTTTAATTTTCTAAATAGATTTGTGTACATCAGGATAGATTGCTTTGGTTTAGTTTTCAGGATATCATATTCCAATTGGGCTGTTTTTAAATCTAGAATAAAACATCATTATCACCATCATCATCATCACTATCACTATCGCTGTCACTGTCATATCATTATCAGTTATTATAATTTTGGTGATATATGAATCAGTAGTTATAAATCCAGGCTCATAGAACTAGCTGTACTTAAGAAACTTGAGAGAGAAAAACACCCTCATTCTTACATAGTTACAGATTAGTGCCATTCTAT